GGTCTTTCTGCATGCTCTCGCTTCTTCCTCCTACAGTCAAAAAACTAATTGGTAAATTGTTTCTGCGTTGCCCCATGATCAGTTCTTCTTGCAGGAATAATGCCCTGGTAAAGCCTCTCTTTCTGCCTCATCACCAACCAACTAAATGCCAGCAATTCTGTTTTTTTTTTTATGTTTTTTTTTTTTTTTTTTTTTTTTTTTTTTCCGGCAGAAAGTCTAGTAACCTAGTCTCCACTACTCAGCAGGAAGAAATAAAATTTACTCCACATGCTATACAAATATTAGCACAATTTTTCAGAGCACTACAAATAGAGAAAATACATATTTTCCAGTTCTTGGGTGCCCCCACCCAATCTAATGACACCCTGGGCAACTGCCAATGTTGTCTGTACCAAAAAGCACCACTGCCTGTAATGAACTGGCCACCTGTCCAAGGCACAGCTTGCAGCAGTGCTCTGCGTCTACATGATTCATGAACTAATTGAACAAAGAATAAAACCCTGCTGCCTTTGCCTGGCTTCTAAGCTCTTGATATCTTGCTCACGTTAATCATTGTCCTCCTGATTTTTTTGACTGGATGTTATTTCATCCCCAGGGTGCTATGCAAAGAACTTTGGTCCAAAAGGTTTCGGTTTCGGGCAGGGTGCAGGAGCTCTGGCTCATTCACAGTGAAGCCGGAGGCCACAGCCAACGAGAGACTGACAGCTGGTGTGCTCTGATATTGCAGCTTCCTGGGTCTTTGCATCAATATCTGACCTTTCACTTTTCGCTGTAGGCAGCAGGCAATGATTCAAAAAAGAAATGTTTTTTTTTTTTTTTGTTTTTTTACACGCTTACCAGATAGCATGAGATGCTTTGGAGGGAGGTGCACATGAGCTAAACATTTAAAAAAGCTGAAATATGTCTGTTTTTCTTTATAAGTATAACGAGTTTCACTTCAGTGTTTAATGATGTGGTATGAAAATTAAAGATTATAGCGGCAATGTGAACATGTGGTGTTTTTAATTCATGAAAAATATTAAAGTGAGTATGGTTTAGTGTTCAGGACAAGTATTGATTTTGTTGTAGAACCGCTGTCACTAAACTATCAATGTTTGATATTTTAAATATACACTTTACTAAATGTATATTTACACTTGAGCAAATACATATTTTGTTGACTTAAAATATATTTTAATTTAATATATTTCTTAAGTGTAACTTGGTATAATTATATTTAAGAATGTTTAAAGTTATGTTAAAATTAGCACAACCACGCTTTTAGTATTATACTTCATATGTATTTATAGGTAGTAAACTTAATACTTAGCATACTTAAAATGTACTTGCACAAATGTAACTATATTTGAAATATACTAAAGAATATTTTTTTCACCATGGTGTGCTTGAGGTAATATGTGTAATATCTTACACATGTTGCTTTACCTTTCAGTTAGTGTACAAACAGGTAACTATTCAAAAGTATTATCTGCATATGTTTTGACAAAAAAATATGTTTTGAAAAACAAGCATATAATTCTTCTCATTTTCTTGTGACTCATAAGAATACGAGTCACATAAATCTGTGTTTTGGTTGTTGGGTGTGTTTGTGGATCTTCTGAATTTTGACCGATGTTGTTGTAGTGAACAACAAAGTCTTAGTGTTCTGCTCCATCTCTGGTTGTGCTGAAGAGTTGGCACACTGGCCGGAGTGCCAGGCAGCTGTGGTGGAGGAGGTGGGTGTCTGGGTGGGGGCAGCTCTTTGTTCTGGCACCGACATCCACATGCAAGAGCCACATCAGGTTCAAACCTACACCAGAAACTTCAAGATGGTTTTCATGTCACTGAATGCAAAACAATTGAACAAAATGTCTTCCACCTTTGCGGTTGCCTTTGAATTGGTATTAAAATTCTTAAAATAAGCATAAAATTAGATTGTCACACAACTTCTGATTAAAGGGGCCACAGGAGGTATAAATAAACCCCCAAAAATGGAATTTTAATTGTTTTTGTCACTCAAATGTTAATGTTGGTTTTGTGAATAAAGCTGAACCAAAATGTAACAATGGCTCAGATCTGTACAAATGCACATACATTAAAGTAACAGAGCTCTGCTTGAGTCAAACTGCAGGAATGTCTTTAATAAGTCTTTGAAATTTCTTATTCTGTCAGCAGCTTTTAAAATGGATAGATGAATTATATACAGCAGCAACCGTGAAGAAGTTTGATCTCATTTTTTTTTATGTGGATCTCAGAACATCAAAGAGCGTGTTGCTGTTTGACCTGAGCATTCCTGATGAAGGGTGAAAAATCAAGTTAAAGATTCTGTCAGTCAGAATAAGGTCAGAGCACCAAGAACTAATCCCCCAAAACATCAACAAATATTCAAAGAAGTCTCGGAACATATAGAATGTCAGCAGAGTGAAGTAAATACTGGAGTTTTACAAATTTCATAAGCAGAAATTATGACTACATTTATCTCATTGCCATATAGCAGAGTGTTTATAACTGCCAAATAATAAAAATGTCTGGATTTCAATTACTAATAGCTAAAAGTACAACAAAGTCTCATCTTTAAGAGTCTACCTCCATCTTGTCATGCCACAAAATAATTTTCACACAGCTGCCTAAAACACCAGCTACCCCACTAGAGGGCTCTCAAACAGCTTCTAAAGGTCTGACACCTGTATTTTTCCAAGCTCTTGTAAACTACTCTTCACGTAAACATGATTTCCTTGTTACAGCCTAACGTCCCAAGAGGTGGCGCTTTTAGACCAGGTGACATCTTTTACAATCAGACAAAAGACTTTGGGTGTGTTTCTGTGTGTGGATTTCTTTCAGACTGTGCATACCGAATACTTTATCAAAATATGAAAGGCAAGTTTATTTGTCATAGGCTACACAAAGTAATTCAAAGTGTTTCACAGGAAAATAGACAAAAATAAAAAGGCTTGCATCGAAACAATGATTAAATTTAAGAATGACATGATTTTTATCATTTAATTTACTTAAATTGTGACTCACCAGCAGCTCAAAAACAAATTCTGTCTGTTTTCCCCACAAACAAATCCAAAAAAGACAAGGACATTTTGTCATTTGTAATGTATTGCTATATTTTGTATCTTATCTTCTAAAGATATAGTGTTTTGTGAATGTATCTGTAAGAAATCTCAGAGTTTCATAAAAAAAAGTCCCAACATTATGTGGGACAGCATGTTACAGACCATGAAAGTTTCCATCTCAGAGATAAGAGGACCAAATTATTGAATTATTTTCTGTCAAAAAAAAAAATAAAAAATCACTGAATTTGTGAAAGAATTGATTTGTCCTGTTTTAGCTAAAGAGTCTTTCACTGACTTTACTGTGAAAGTAGAACAATGGTGTCAACACATCACTGTTATCTTGAGTTCACCCTCTCTAGTAGTTGGTGCACTGCCGTGTGTGCGTGTGTGTGTGTTTGTGTGTGTGTTTGTGTGTGTGTTTTCTATTTAAATACCCCTGTAATAAACAGGATGGGCCAGACAGAGAAAAGCAGGAGTTGAATGTTCTTGCTCATTTTTCTCTACATCATTTTTCCTTCTGCTCCTGTAGCATCAACGCATTAAGGTAAGAAGAAAATTAACTCTTTTTTTTTTCTTTATTATAATCTTATTTCAGAAAATTGATGTGAAAGTTTGGATTGTGCAAATATATTTCCCATATCTTGCTAGAAAACACATTATGCAAAAAACTATTTCAACCATGACTAATCCGCCAAAAGTTATTTACTATTTATTTGTATGAAGTGTAACTGATGGCAATAGAATAATACAAAATAATACAAAAGACTTGAGTTCCTTAATGTTGAGTTTTCTCATATGAACCATCTAAATATCAAAATAGGTGAAGTTGAAAATCAATGTTATATTCAAATTTTGCAACAACATCACAAAATATAACAATTAAAAAAGGGTCCCAATAAAAAAGGGAAAGTAAAGACTGGATTTATATGCAACTGCATAGTTAATATATTTAAACTTTTTGAATAAGGCAAATCTGCTTCTAAAAATATCTACTCCCTATTGAGCTCATCAAGGTTCTACCCATCAGTGATAAAATATTTATAAAATTTTAAATGTTTCACACAATCAAAATATTTTTTGAGTTATGCTTATGAATCCATTTCTACTTTATACTTAAATTCCTGTTGCCAATCTGCCAACATCTCTTTGTGAAGTCAACGTGGCATTCCTAAACTCAACATGGCGTTCTGAGAACGAGGGGCCTAGTCTATATTTGTGTCTTTTTTATCCAGCAGAAAAGAGGGGCTGAAAGCAAGAAGTCTAATCTGTGTGGAAACATTCCCACGTTGGGGGTTTTGCATGCTTCTCCCTGCCTGCCATCACCTTGCCCAGGGGAGGGGAGGATTGTGTTATCAACACTGGAAGGCGATTGAGTGATTTTGTCCAGTAGGCCCATGAGGACCGGAACAATGACTGAGAAAATCAAACCATTTAAATGTTTAATTTAGCAAATAAGTGACTGTTCTTTAGAAAGGTAAATATCTGAAAGTAAGAACATCAGTCTTGGTCAACAGTACTTGATACTTTGTATTATGTTGGTTCACATCCATTTGAAACTCCCAGGGTGGCCGTGGTGTGGTGCATACGAGGGCTTAACTGGAATTCATAATTATGAACAACTGGGGCTCTAGAACTGTCTAGAAATGTCTTCACTTTTGAGCTCTGCTAAATAAAACAAATGTATTTTTGTCTTGTAGGTCCATTAAAATAGCCATGATGCCTGAAAAAATGTAAGTATTGCTTTAGTCATTGTATCAGTTTTACACAGTCATCAACATAAACTTTCATATTAATAGAAATTGATTGTAAAAACTAACATAGAATATTTTTTATGTTTCGTTCACAGGCCTGAGGTAAGATTAAGAAAATATTATAAATTAGAAAACATATACAAACACTGATTTTTAAAGTTAAACTAGAGTAGTGAAATGTTAAATTATGACATTAATCTGATATTTT